TTTTTTTTTTTTTTTTTTTATAACCGCACCGAACCAAAAGTTTTTGGTGCGGTTTTTTATTCAAAGTCGGTGCGATTGGGTTTGGGTATTTTGAAATTTTCAATTTTCGGTTATTGCGGTTCGGTGCGGTTTTTCACCGAACTGCACTGATGCTCACCGCTAAGTAAATTCCACATAAATCCCCAATATGTTCAAGTTCCTTGTCAATCCTTAGGTTTTTTTTCCTCTACCCTCCCTACCACATTACTCTCTTTCCTCTCAATTACCTGTATATATATATAACTATTATGGAGAATGCTCCCATACTCACGGTGACACATGTTAATATGTTCACCGCTTACATCACTAATGTGTGCATGTCACATAAGCGATAGACATATTAATATATGCCCACCGTAGATAGAAGATCAATACTGTAACTATTAATTATTTATCATCTAATTTATTTAGCAAAGCATAAAATATTGAAAAATGTCATAACAAAATAAAAAAGTGTCTCCCTCGTCCACACATCGCTTTTCTCTCCGGCAAACTCACCATCTCCGTCGCCGACGGCTTGCTCAAAATTAACATCAGATTTAACATTTAAAATAAGTCCCCGAAACAATCTCATGTTGTTTGTTTGTTTGTCCATGAGCAGGGTGGGATTGAAATTCCATTATCTGATTCCCTAATTACTTCCTCCCCAATTTGCAGAATCCATTTGAAGCGAAACCAACCCACCAAGTTACTGAGCCCGTGCCCGACGACTGCCAGGGCAAAAAGGTCCGATTGAAGTGCAACGAGGACGACACCATCGGAGATCTCAAGAAGCTGGTTGCCGCACAGACCGGCACACGCGCCGACAAGATCAGGATCCAAAAGTGGTGTACCATCTACAACGACCACTTCATCCCTCAAAGACTAGGAGGTCCACGACGGCATGGGACTCGAGCTCTACTACAAGTAGGTTCTTCGCTATTCCCCCAATTAATTACAATTTCGACCTAATTATGTGTAATTCTGATCTCTCTCTTTATCTGAATTTCATTGTTTTGGGTGATTGAGAAAATAGGATGATATGGGCGCCCTTTGATTGTGCTTGATTTGTGATTTGGATTGTGTTTGATTATGGGCTGTGTAGTTTTTTGTTTGCTGTTTTTGGAAGACGGACCTAATTTGAGATTTTAGTGTTCATGTTACTCTGTTCTCTCTTGATATCTTTCTCTGTTCACAATTAATTTGGCTGGTTGGAAGAGGAAAAAAAAAAAGTGAAAACGTTTTTGCTTGCCTGCCTGAGCCTGATCTCCTCAGCAATGGCGACTGTGAAAACCGTCAAGGATGTCTCTCCGCACGAGTTCGTCAAATCCTATGCCTCCCACCTCAAGCGCTTGGGGAAGGTGAGGACGTTTTTGCCTATACTAGCACTGTTATCTGTTTTTCATTTCAATTGTTTTTTCTTCGCATAGTCATCTCAAGTGAATGCGTGTTCTTGAAAAAGGGTATGTGTTTTGAGGTGGGACTTGTGAAAAAGTCTTAATTTTTGGGGCGTACCGAGTGAAGAGGTTTATTGTTTGTGATATTGATTTTTCGGTTGTTTGATTCTTGGCATTGTTTGTAGTAAATGGTTTTTGATGATGTAGTTTTACTCCGTTGATGATTTAACAATTGTGTGTCTAGAGCCTGCTTTATTGTTTGCTTGTGATGTAATGATTTTGCTCGGGCCGAGAAGTAAAGAACTAAATTGTGGAACTGATTTGTCACTGTGAGATTATTGGTGATTGGATTTTCAAAAACTAAGATTAGTTATCATACTGTCTTAAAAAAAGTTCAGTTAATGGCATTTATGGTTCATGTTTTCTTCTTTGTTAATGAAGATCTTTATCTGATTAAAGTTGAGATTATTATTGAAAAAACACCTCAAGTGCACGAAAAACACATTATAAGGGATGGTTTGAGCTGTACCTATTGGTAGTATTCTGACTCCAAAATCCAAATATATAACAGACCCAATATATGTTTGATAATTTTAATAATCAAGCTATAGGTGATAAGCTAAATTTTAATATAACAGACCCAATATACTTGTATTTTAGTCGACAACTGAATTTATTTATTGGTTTAATTAAAAGTTAAAACACAATGTATGTTGTGTACGTACTCACACTGAAATTAGATGTTCACTTTTTGCACAGCCAATGATATTCAGTTTGTATTATTCTACCCCCACAAGGTGTTTTGTGCACGGAAAGGTAGTTCACATGAGTTCCCCTAAGCTATTTTACTTACTTATTTTATTTTTTTATTTCCCGATCAATAGATGGAGCTGCCCGACTGGACTGATTTGGTAAAAATTGATGTCTTGAAAGAGCTTGCGCCATATGATCCTGATTGGTACTACATAAGGGCTTCTTCCATGGCTCGTGAGGGGAGGTGGTGTTGGTGCCTTTTGAAGGATTTATGGTGGAAGCAAGAGGAATGGCAGCCGTCCGCCCCATTTTGGCAAGAGCAGTGGGTCTGTGGCTCGTAACATTCTTCAGTAGTTGCAGAAGATGAGCATCGTTGAGGTGGATCCACGAGGTGGACGTAGGATCACATTCAGCGGGCAAAGGAATTTGGACCAAGTTGCAGGAAGAATTTGGACGTAGAATATTTATTTAGTTTAATTTGTGTAGCTAAGTCTTCCCCATTTACTAAATATAGGGGCTTTTAGCTTGTTGGGAACTTGAGTCAGAAGAAATCTCTGGACAAAGATTTTGGTTTAAAATGTTTGTCTTTTTAACTTCCCGATGATTTAACGAGATGTAATGTGGATTATGAATTATCGAGTTATATCAGTGTTATGATTTTAGTTAAAAAAAAAAAGAGTACCAACCTTGTTTTCTAATAGTGCTTGTTTTGTTGTACTTAATACCTATTTTTTTTTTTTTTTTTT